ACAATGTGGCAAGGCCAGCGGTATCCTGGATGCCATGTCCAGACTCCAATGAAAATGGTGAAAGATGCCAAATTGCACAATGTATTCAGCAAATCTGCAGACAGAATGCAGCATAGTTTCTGGATGGATCTGTCTATTCCAGGATAACCTTTCTGTTTGTGTTCCTTCCTGTTTGTGTCCTTTTTTTTCTCATTGTATGTAACCATTTCTCAAGTATATTAGACTCGGCGCAGGCATAAGAGGGGCTACAATTTCAAAAATGGAGGCACTCAGATTACAGCCACCCTGTACATGAATAATGCCACCATCTTCTGCTTAGATTTGGTGCTTGTGTGCAGATCGATTAGCATCTGCAATCAGTTCAAACTAGGCTTGGGAGCTAAGATAAATCTAGATAAGAGTAAGGCAATTTTCTTTGAGATCAGGGCCAACCAATGCTTTGTTCCTTTCACTGTCCAGTCAACTTACCTGATGATGCTGGAGATATGGTTCAGTAAACACCAAAGATCACTGCATGCTGAAGTTCTACCTGTCCCCTGCATTAGGAAGGATGAGTCTGGCCACAATGCTGTAAAATGCCCTAAGTAGTTGATTCGTGCCATATTACTTGTCCCTTGTGAAAACGTTTATGCAGCAAATTGTATTTCATCAAAAATCTATCGGGCATCATTCAGCCTCAATGTTCTGCAGGAAAAGAAGATGCTCAATCCTGTCAGATGGTTCCCTGAGTAAACTGTCAAAGTAATTTGGCATAATGCCTCATGTTCAAAACTTAGATAGAAGATGCCAAGATATATATCTTGACTGGTGGTGAGAAAAGTCCTCTTTCAGATCCCATCTGCATCCATGAAATCTCACACCTCCACACATTTCCCTTGAAGTGTCTGTGGTACGGGAGAGATTGTTACCCACCTCTTTATGAAAAGTGCCTTTGTAAAGAAGGTCTGGAAGAGATGCGTTGGTTTTTGTCATGGTTCAATCCAAGCAGTTCTGTCACACAGAATTTTCTGCTGTATGGGTCATTCCCAAGTTCACGCAAGATAAATATCAACTGCACCTGATAACCATCAGTTTGCTGCAAGATGCTCTTTAGTCTGATTCAGATATGACGGTGTCCCATTGCAAGGAGTTGTTCTTGACTGAGTGTTGCAGACTGACACATTAGCACAACAGCTAAGGAAGTTTGCATGTCTGTAAAGACTCTTACCAATTTTTATAGATGCACCATAGAAAGTACTCTATCCAGTTGCATTACAGCTTGAAATGGAAACTGCTCTGCCCAGGACTATAAGAAACTACAGAGAGTTGTGAACACATCCCGGTTCATCATGCAAGCCAAACTTCCATCCATTGACTCCATCCATACTTCTCGCTGCCTCAGAAAGGAAGCCAACATCATCAAAGACTGCTTCCACTCAGGTTATAATCCTTTCCAATCTCTTTTTACAGGTGGAAGATACAAAAGCTTAAGCAAATGAGTTAACAGATTCAAAAACAGCTTCTTCCCCCCTGTTATTAGACCTCTGAACGGACCTCTCAAATTTTAAATCTAATGTTGATTTTAGTCTTTGCGTATCTTCTGTGGAGCCGTAACATTGTATTCCTCGCTCTGTTCTATTACCCCTATGCACTTTGTATAGTATGATCTGCCTGTACTGCTCGCAAAACAAAACTTTGCACCGCACCTAGGTACATGTGACAAGAATAAATCAAGTCATCAAATCAAATCAAATCAAGGTCCAGGACTTCATGCTGAGGGATGCTCGAAAGGTTGACTCAGTCACTGCTGAGGCACAATGAGGAAAGATCACTGCCTGAGGTCTTTCAGCCATTGTACACTGAGGGGTTGGAAACTGTAAAACCCCTACAGGCTGTCTGCTGTATAAGGAATGTACATTATGCATGCTCTGTATTTCAAATAGGAATTGTTTTGCGTTCCACTACATACTGGCATGGTATTTTGTAAATATTAAGACAATACAATCGTATTGAGTGGAATATACTGTATGGTGACATATTCCAATATATTGAAAATTCCATAATATTGAATTTGAAATGATTTGTGATGTAGTTTTACAAATACCATGAATAAAATATATCTTTGGAATACAAAATTCAACCTCTGAGTTATTCTGCTTTTCAATTGGACAATTCATTTACAGATCTTTGCTCCATATGCCTTGATAATCTGTAGGCAACAAACATTTATCTATTGCCGTCTTGAAAATTACAATTGTCCCAACACCTGCAGTCTTTTGGGGGAATACACTTACAGAATTCCATAACACTGTGAAAAAGTACTTCCAAATTTCACTTCCGAAGAGTCTAACTTTAGTTTTCTGAAGGATATGGCTGAGGAAATTGTAAAGGCATTGGTGGTGATCTTTCAGGAATCGCTGGAGTCAAGGAAGGGGCTAGAGGGCTGGAGAGAGGCTAACATAATACCTCTGATTAATAAGGGAGGGAGGCAGATAACAGGAATCAAGAGGCTGCTTAGCCTGACCTGTGTTGTTAGTAAGATTTTCAAATCCAGTATTAAGGGTGAGATTGTGGAGTACATGGAAGTGCATGGTAAAATAGGGCAGAGTCAGCACAGTTTCATCAAAGGGAGGTCATGCCTGACAAATCCATTAGAATTTTTTGATGAGGGAATGAGCGAGTTAGACAAAGGAGAATGAATGGACTTGATCTATTTGGATTTTCAGAAGGCCTTTGACAAAGTTCCGCACAGGAGGCTGCTAAATAAGATACGAGCCCATGGTGGTAGGGGAAAGATACTGGCATTGATAGAGGATTGGCTGACTGCCAGAAAACAGAGAATAGGGATAAAGGAGTTGCAGCTGGTGACTAGTGGGTTTCATAGCGATTAGTATTAGGACCACAACTATTCACATTACACATTAATGATCTGGACAAAGGAACTGAGGCCATTGTTGCTAAGTTTGCAGATGACACAGAGATAGGTGGTGGGACAGGTAGTGTGGAGGAGGTGCAAAGACTGCACAAGGACTTGGACAGGCTACGATAGTGGGCAAAGAAGTGTTGGATGGAATTCAAGTTGGGCAGCGTGAGGTTATGCACTTGGGTAGGAAGAATAGAGGCATGCACTATTTTCTATACGGGGAAATATTTCAGAAATCTGAAGCATAAAGGGACTCAGGTAGTCTTAGTTCACCGCTCTGTTAAGGTTAACACGAAAGTTCAGTTTGTTGTTAGAAAGGCAAATGCAATGTTGGCATTCATTTCACATGAGCTAGAATACAAAAGCAGAGATGTACTGCTGAGGCTGTATAAGGCTCTGGTCAGATATCATTTGGAATACTGTGAGCAGTTTTTGGACTTGTATGTAAGGAAGGATGTGTTGGCCTTGGAGGGGGTCCAGAGGAAGGTCACAAGAATTATCCTGGGGATGAAAAGCTTGTCATAAGAGGAGCATTTGAGAACTCTGGATCTGTACTACAAGGATGAGAGGCTGTCTGATTGAAACAATATACAATACTGAGAGGTATGGATAGAAGGGACATTGAGAGGATATTTCCACTAGTAGGACACACTAGGACCTGAGATCATGGACTTAGTGTGAAGGGACAACCCTTTAGAACTGAGATGAGAAGGAATTTCTTCTGCCAGAGGATGGTAACTCTGTGGAACTAATTGCCACAGAGCACTGTGAAGGCCACATCATTGAGTCTATTTAAAACAGATATAAATAGGTTCTTGATTGGTAAAGGGATTAAGAATTATGGGGATTAGGCAGGAGAAACGGGTTGAGAAACATATCAGCCATGATTAAATGGTGGAACAGACTTGATGGGCCAAATGGCCTCATTCTGCTCTTATATCTTAAGGTCTCATAGTTATAACATTGTGCCCCCTTGTGGATTTCTTACCAATGAAAATGATTTCTCTTGCTGTGTTATATTCATGATGTGGAAATGCCAGTGATGGACTGGTGGATAAGGTCAAAAATCACATAACACCAGGTTATAGTCCAACAGATTTATTTGAAAATGCAAGCTTTTGGAGCTCAGCTCCTTCTTCAGGCAAAGTGTGAGAGAGTGGATATAAGACACAAAATTTATAAGCAGAAAGGTAACAACCCTAAAAATGATGCCTCTTGTTGAATCTTTAATCAGTTAGGAAGGAGACTACTAGGCAGAGCGGAGTGGAGAAACTACGCCATGTTCTTCGTCGCCTTTAACTCATTATCGATGATGATGAGTACCTCACCACGATCTTCCCTACACTTCCAATTCTCACCTTCAAACAACCACCCAACTTTAAACAGACCATTGTTTGCGGCAAACTACCCAGCCTTCAGGACGTCCTCGACCACAACACCACACAACCCTGTCATGGCAACCTCTGCAAGTCATGTCGGATTATCAACAGGATTACTACTGTCACACGTGGGAACCCCACCCATCACGTACACGGCAGATACTTATGTGACTCAGCCAATGTTGTCTATCTTGTACGATGCAGGCAAGGATGCCCCAAGGCTTGGTATATTGGTGTTCCCTTCCAGTGGGGGAACATTGATAGACAGATTCTAAGCGAAACCTCACACCTAAAATGCATCATCGGCCTGAGATGACAATCTTGTATACGTTGATAAAACATTTAATTATTTCAGGACAATGACTTGAAAGGCATCTGGATTTTGCACTTCAATCAGTAGTCTCCTTCCTAACTGATTGAAGATTCAACAAGAGGCAACCAGTTTTATGGTTGTTACCTTTCTGCTGACAAATTCTGTGTCTTGTACCTTCTCTCTCACACTATGCCTGAGGAAGGAGCTGAGTTCCGAAAGCTAGCTTTTCAAATAAACCCGTTGGAGTAAAACCTGGTGTTATGTGATTTTTGACTCTGTATATTCAGTAGCTGTCGATTTGTCATAGCTTTTGTTTCACTTGTTTGTTACCTAATTCACAGCATAAGTAATCATTCTGATTTAACAGAAATGTTAACAACTCTGCCACTTTGCTTCTATTTCCCAGGATATACTCTAATCAATGAAGACTGTCCAGGGGCTGAGTGGAATATCATGTGTCGAGATTGTTGTGAAACAGATCAGATTGAGTGTGTTTGTCCTGGGAAGGATGAGGTTGTGGGATATTCTGTCCCATGCTGCCGGAATGAGGAAGACGAATGCGACTCTTGTCTGATACACCCAGGTGTGGCTGAGTTCCCAGATGGAATGAAAGTGAATACTCAAGTATAATTCAGTATGCTTTATTATCTATTGACATTGCCAGTGTAATAATGTAATTTTCTTCTCCAGCAGATACCTGCAGGTAAACAAACTGAGGCCAAACTGGGAGAGCAAACTGACCTTTGCCCTTCCTGTAAGGATGTACTCACACTTTGTTTTCTGTCTCCTCTTCCACGGATGTTTACATATCTTTAATCAACCTGCTCAGAGATGTTATGACACATCTCTACAGCACGCTGGTCTTGAACCTAAGGCACATCTCCCTCACAGAATGTTTGAAATAATGAGATCACCAAAAATGGAATTAAAGATGCAAATAATATAATCCAACAACCCAAAGAAATCCATTCCCCTTCCACTGCTTGCGTTACAAATACATATTCAAAAATAAATCTTTCCCTCTGGAATTAAGGGGAATACTTTTAGGTTAATGCATTTGGCCTTTTACTTTATTACCTATTTTCTATATTTTATTAATTCCTTCTGAAAATTCCAGAGGGAAGGCAGTAGAATTGGGCAAAATGGTTTGCATTGTCAAATAGCCCACAGTGTGCACTCTCTAGCCTTGAATGGCCAGTTGGATGAAGTCACAGTGACCAGCCAAAGTCACATTATGACAAAGAAATGACTAAAAGCAGAAAGTGGTGAAAAACTCAGTACATCTGGCAGCATCGCTGTATCTCCACAGATACTTTCGCAAACCACCCTGACACCTTCAAGGATTTGTATACGTATATTACCAGAACTTTCTGTTCCTACACCCTCTTTAGAATTTCACCCTGTATTGTTTCTTGCCTTTCCTTATCTTTCTCCCATAATATATCATTTCATATTTGTCCACATTAAATTTCATCTCTCACCTGTCTGCCCATTCAGCCAGCCAATGTCCTTTTGAAGTCTGTCCTGAGGCTTCTGCTATTGTGAAGTCCACCATCATCATCCTTCTGACGGCTTCAGAGGAAAAAATCTTTCTGCTGTAAAACTGTAATATTTGATCATATCCATAGTGTTCCCTCCAGATCCCTCATTCATTCTTAGTCTCATGCCTGTATCATGTTAAGTGCCTCTGATAAATCATCCTGTAATCCCCTCTGTTCTATTAAAACCCACATGAATTTTAGCCTTTTTGTTTATACTTCCTGTAATCAGGTGACATCTGCACTGTGCTTCTCTGTTGCCTCAACATCCTTACTACAGCATGGATCCTAAAATTGCATACAGTACTCCAAGCTACCATCTTGCTAAGATTTGATTTAGACCTCTCCACTGAATTAGAATATCAATATCTTCAAATGAGTTGACAGTTGATGAAAAATGCTTGGAAATTTGAAATATTATGATTTTGTTGCAGGCTGCATCATCTTTGACAACTGTAAGGGATGTAACAACGGTTCATGGGGAACCTTGGACGATTTCTACATCAAAGGGCTTTATTGCTCAGAGTGCCATGCTGGCTGGTCAGGGGGAGACTGTATGAGTAAGTATTGTCAAGGGGCTTGAATTTCTGTAAATCCTTCAACAAGCATCTCTCTCAATGGTATCCTTTTGCAAAGGAAGAGGTCTATGCCCATAGCTGAATGAAAGAGCTTTCTAAGAATGAACAAAACAGACTTTTAATTATATGGCACTTTACCACAGATCTCTGATACTTCTTAATCTGATTTACATGAATTATCTTGAAGGGCTGTCACAGCCAGAGTAGACATTTGTACAGAACAAAGCTGTACATGTGAAATAATAATAAACGAAGACATCAGCAATACTCAGCAGTTCAGACAGCATCTGTAGAGAGAGTAACAGAGTTACTTTACTGAATTTAATGGTCACAGCAGTTGGCCTGTCATCTGCTGGAGAGCCAGTGGCAATCCTGTTGCAGCATTTTCCAGGAACCTTGTTGGCATTAGATGCTGGTTGGTTACTATCAGTGTTCCCATCTTTGCTTGTTCCTGCTGGACCTCCTGGAGCAAGGTGGATATTCTGCCCCAGCTGCCATCCAACCAGATACTGGCAGTGCTCCAGTTCTGGTAGCATCACTGGGAGTTGTGGGGTGCAGTGGGGCCATCAAAGGATTGTTATTTAAGCCTCTAGACAAAAACGATTAGGGCAGCATTGCTGGGCCCAGATGGCTGGAGATGAAACAAATGTTAAAGAAGTACAGAGTCAGGGCAAAGGTGTGGGGAAGAAAGAATCAAGGATCTCTGATGACATGGAACGTAAATGATGATTCATTGACGTCCAGCTGGATGACCTCAGCACAATCATTACATCTGCAAAATCTCAGCAGGTCTGGCAGTATCATTCTGAGGAAGAATCACTGGACCCGAAATGTTAACTCTGCTTTCTTTCCACAGATGCTGCCGGACCTACTGAGTTTTTCCAGCAATTTCTGCGATTACAATGATTAGCATCTTCACTGCCTAGACAATGTGGTCAGGTGGCCAGCAGCAGACATGCTGACAAGTTTGGTTAACAGCTACAATCAAGCATGCTGGGAATTTTGGTCAAGCTAGTTGAGACTCTGACCTCATCTAAGTGTTAGCTAGGATGTGTTGTGACCTGTTCTGTAAGCTATGACCTGCTGTTTCCTGTGTTGACCAAATGAGGTAGGTGTCATGGTGGTCTACTAGACATCATGGCACCAGTATTATCTTACGGAAAGTATGGAATGCCACTGTTTGCAACATGTCGTAAACATTGAGGAGTTGTTTACCAGTAAATTCCATTGGCTGGGGTTGAATAGTGTGATCAGCATTTTATCAATTCATTGGCTGAGTGCCAGAGATCTTTCTGGAGACTGAGCACATTTTTGGGATAAAAGTTAGCAGAACAAAAGAATTTTTCTCAGGGGAGAAGAAACCTCCGGACCACATTGGAAAAGCATGTGCCCTGAAGCTACTTTCAGAGAAAACAAAGAGATAACACCTGCACGGAGTACCAAGCGAGATAGTAGGAACTGGCAATGCTGGAGAATCTGAGATAACAAAGTGTAGAGCTGGATGAACACAGCAGGCCAAGCAGCATCAGAGGAGCAGGAAGGCTGACGTTTCGGGTCTGGACCCTTCTTCAGAAATGGGGGAGGGGAAGGGGATTCTGAAATGAATAGAGAGAGAGGGGGAGGCGGATGGAAGATGGATAAAGGAGCAGATAGGTGGAGAGGAGACAGACAGGTCAAAGAGGCGGGGATGGAGCCAGTAGAGGGGAGGGGGGGAGGGGGGTTGAGGTGGGAGGAGGAGATAGGTGGGAGAAAGGACGGACAGGTTAGGGCGGTGAGGACGAGCTGGGCTGGTTTTGGGATGCGGTCGGGGGAGGGAAGATTTTGCAGCTTGTGAAGTCCACAATGATACCATTGGGCTGCAGGGTTCCCAAGCGAAATATGAGGTGCTGTTCTTGCAGCCTTCGGGTGTCATCGTTGTGGCACTGGAGGAGGCCCCGGATGGACATATCGTCCAAGGAGTGGGAGGAGGAGTTGAAGTGGTTCGCGACTGGGAGGTGCAATCGTTTGTCGCGAACCGAGTGTAGGTGTTCCACAAAAGCGGTCTCCAAGCTTACGCTTGGTTTCCCCAGTGTAGAGGAGGCCACATCGGGAACAGCGGATACAGCGTACCACATTAGTGGATGTGCAAGTGAACATCTGTTTGATGTGGAAGGTTTTCTTAGGACCTGAGATGGGGGTGAGGAGGGAGGTGTAGGGGCAGGTGTAGCACTTCCTGTGGTTGCAGGGAAAAGTGCCGGGGGTGGTGGGGCTGGAGGAGAGTGTGGAGCGGACAAGGGAGTCTCGGAGAGAGAGGTCCCTATGGAAGGCAGATAAGGGTGGGAAGGGAAAAATGTCTTTGGTAGTGGGGTCAGATTGCAGATGGCAGAAGTGTTGGAGGATGATGTGTTTGATCCGGAGGTTGGTGGGGTGGAACGTGAGGACGAGGGGGATTCTGTTTTTGTTGTTGTTGCAGGGAGGGGCTGTGAGGGATGAGTTTCCTACCTACCAGCCTCATCCTCGCTTCCTCGACCTGTCCATCTTCCCTGGACTGACCAATCCCCACCCTAACTCCCCACCTACACTCACCTTTACTGGCTCCATCCCCGCCTCTTTGACCTGTCTGTCTCCTCTCCGCCTATCTGCTCCTTTATCCATCTTCCATCCGCCTCCCCCTCTCTCTCTATTCATTTCAGAATCACCTTCCCCTCCCCCATTTCTGAAGAAGGGTCCAGACCCGAAACGTCAGCTTTCCTGCTCCTCTGATGCTCCTTGGCCTGCTGTGTTCATCCAGCTGTACACCTTGTTATCTCAGCTGCCCATTTGACTTGCTTCATTTTCATTCCATTGACTTTAATAGCAGGTTTTGTAATGGTTGGTAGTTCTCTCTACAATTACCATTCAAGCAGTGGTCATAAAAAATGTGCAATGTAGCAACCTGTTTATTGAATTGCAGAAATCTCACTTTCATTCCTGTTCGAGTTCTGGGAAGTCAACATCTAGTCCCTATGGGGTCTTAGTTGAAGCTCTTGCAGTCTTAGTACAAACACCAATGGATTTCACAATGTAATCTCTGTGGTATCAACATCCGATTGAAAGGTGGACTCTCAGTAAAATCTCCTGTGGGACTCAGTATCTGATCCCTAGAATCTTAGAGTCTGACCTCCCTTAATAAATGTTTGTTAGTCCCTATCTCAGAATCCTTAATATCCTTGTCATTCACTGTTGGTGACCACTAACTCATGGCAATCTTTCCAAGGCATTATAGAACATAGAACATAGAAAAGTACAGCACAGTACAGGCCCTTCAGCCCACGATGTTGTGCCGAACTTTTACCCTAAACCTAAGGTCTATCTAACCTTCACCGCTACCTTATACTATCATCCATATGCCTATCTAATAGCTGCTTAAATGCCCCTAATGAGGCCGACTCCACTACCCTCTCTGGCAATGCATTCCACGCCCCGACCACTCTCTGGGTAAAGAACCTACCTCTGACGTCTCCCCGATATCTACCTCCTTTCACTTTAAAACTATGTCCCCTCGTAAAAGCTACCTCCACCCTAGGAAAAAGTCTCTGGCTGTCTACTCTATCTATACCTCTGATCATTTTGTACACCTCTATCAAGTCACCTCTCATCCTTCGTTGTTCTAAAGAGAAAAGCCCTAGTTCTCTCAACCTTTCCTCGTAAGACCTTCCCTCCATTCCAGGCAACAGCCTGGTAAATCTCCTCTGCACCTTTTCTAACGCTTCCACATCTTTCCTGTAATGAGGTGACCAGAACTGGAAACAATACTCCAGATGTGGCCGAACCAGGCTTTTGTACAGCTGGAGCATAACTTCACAGCTCTTGAACTCAATCCCTCTTTTAATGAAAGCTAACACACCATACACCTTCTTAACAACTCTATCCACCTGGGTGGCAGCTCTCAGGGAACTGTGAACATGAACCCCAAGACACCTCTGCTCCTCCACACTGCCAAGAATCTTTCCGTTAACCCTGTATTCTGCTTTCAAGTTTGTCCTTCCAAAATGAATCACCTCACACTTTTCAGGGTTAAACTCCATCTGCCACTTCTCAGCCCAGCTCTGCATTCTATCAATGTCCCTTTGTAACATAGAACAGCCCTCCGCACTGTCCACAACGTGACCCACCTTCATATCGTCGAAGATGATATGATACTGATTGTGTCATTCTCACGGTATGGGAGGCAAAGATAGACTTTCTCTTGCCTTCGAAGAGAAATCCTGCTTGCTAAGATTTGGACCATAGAATCTCTACAGTGTGGAAACAGGCCCTTCAGCCCAACAAGTCCACACCGACCCTAGGAGCATCCCATCCCGACCCATTCCCCTCTAACCCACACATCCCTGAACACTATGGGCAATTTAGCATGGCCAATCCACCTAACCTGCACATCTTTGGACTGTGGGAGGAAACTGAAGCACCCGGAGGAAACCCACGCAGACACAGGGAGAATGTGCAAACTCCACACAGACAGTCGCCCGAGGGTGGAATTGAACCCGGGTCCTTGGCGCTGTGAGGCAGCAGTGCTAACCACTGAGCCACCATGTTGCCCTAATCATATCATATCAAATCATATAAGCTTTAAATTGGGCAGTGAACCCACATTACTTATCGTAGGGCTTAACCTAAGCTGCACAAACATCCCCATTGTCAATGACGATGAAGCTGGACCCATCAGTACAAATGAAAAGGATGAAGTATTAAGAACCATCTTCAGCCAGAGGTGCTGAGTGAATGATCCAATTGCGGAGTTCTCCACTATCACAGATGTTATTTTTCAACCAGTTTGAAGCTCTCCATGTGTTATTAAGGAATAGTTGAGTCGACTGGATATAGAAAAGGATGTGAGCCTTGATCTACTCCGGATGAAAAATAACATTTCAGGACAGGCCTTTTCTCTAGCCAAGCTGTTTCAGTGGAGCTACAACACCGGAAACTATTCAGTAATGTGGAAAAATTCCTAGATATATCCTGTC